CCAGAAGAGGAAAATTGCATGCCTCTATTAAGACTGAATTCTTATGAGTCTTGTGGCTTGGTAAACACGTAACATCAACTCGCAGGAACCCGGTACCTTCACTCATCCACGCCGTAAATGAAGGCTACAGATTCCTCCAAACTTGTGCATCTCTCTATGAAATTATAGCCCCATAACCCGGAAGTCTGTAATGTTTATAGTCACTCAAATATCCCATTCGTCGGTGTTATTTTTGCATCTCAAAATAATATTGAACATCATTCCTGTAATTCTTTGGGGTAGATAACTTCGGGCTCTGAAATGTAAATAAATATAGACGAGGAAACATTTCAAAATCGTAAAGCCAAATATAATTTGTTATATAAACTCATGATACCGTATAATGGAACCTTTCCCTAGGGATGCATGAATTGATTAAATAATCTAATTATAAGTCAATTAATTATAATTGGGGGATTTGAAAACTCGTATACCAATGTCTCATCTGTCCATTTCTAATCGAAGCATGGTTGACTATATAACTGACAAACTCCACCTCCCCCCCACCCTTCGTTGTTCTGGATTTACCCCCGGGATGGCGTCCATGCAGGCAGGTCATATCTCATTTCCACCAGCCACGCGCAGGGTGGTCAGTCTGGACGCCATCGGCTAGGGCAGTAATTCAGTGAGGCTGACTTCCCATCGAGACGCACAGATAAAGGAAACTATCTCGCCCACTTCACTGCACCTAATAACTCCGCGAACAAAGTAATTTTTGATAAGCTTATAGTCGCTCAGCTGGTCAATGAGTGCAGCGCTTTTAATGGAAGCCCAAATTTTATTACCCTGTTTGCTAGAGCCCTTCACTGGTCCCTAATCTCAGCCAAAAGGGTTCAATCCACATCTTCCAAAATTAATTCCTTAATGTCCTTTTGAATATTATCCTATCGCCTTCCATGTGGTGTCTCATTTTTAGGATTTCCAATCAGATTAGTTAGGTATTTGTATCTCTCCCATGCGTCCTACACGCGACGCCAATTTTATTCCCTTTTATTCGTCATCATTATCGTCATCAACAACAACGTCAAGGTTTCGAATTTTCCTCTGTTAAGATCCTGCCTTTTTAAGTTCGGGCGTTAAGTGGATTCTGTCCCTGTCTGCAGTCAACTGTTCTGGAATGCGTTCACCTTCCTACACGATGAATCCATCTGAATCTGTTATTCTGAGTTTCATTGCTTAAGCTGAATACTCTATTTGGCCACCCAGATAATATTTGGGGACGAATACTAACTATGAAATCCTTTGCCAATTTCCCCAGCCTCCTGCCATTTTCCCATATTCTCCCCTGCATTCCACACTCGTACACAATTAACTGTATGTTCTTCCCTTATCGTAGGAGACCAAGTTCTACACTTTTACATAGGCAGAGGGTCCACCAAACACGACGAAATGAAAGGACATTTAAAATTTAGTATTAAAGAAATATTTGATTAGAATAATTTGATTTGGAGATTTGAAACATAACTACCGAAACTTTTTTGTTGCAATGCGGTCACTCAAGGTCTGAATGATTATTAAGGCGCGTCCACATTACTCGTGCTCGTCGGGAGACTCGTCTGGCTTTTACTTGTGCTCATAAATCTTCGTCCACACTACTTCAGTTGCTCGCCAGGCTTCAGCGCGTGAGGATCCCTATATTTACTGGTAGTGTGTATAGGCTGTAGTCGTATTTTAATTTATTGTTTTTAAATTTAAAATTTGCTTGTCTCGTGACTTGTCATATCGTCCACATTACTCGCAAGCATAGCGAGTTACACGAGCATGAGTAATGTGGACGCGCCTTTATGTACCATATACGTTCTCCTAAACATTGGAAAACAGCACCCCCCCACCCAATCAACTGTTGCTATAGTTACATGACCGATGAATGCCTTCCTGTAACCCAAGCTTCACCATTGATTTAACTGGATATACTGAAATAATAAAACAACTGACTCCATTACAGACTACACTTCTACTGTGCAAAACGAAATCCACAAAAGAATTCTTACTTATTCTCTAATTTGTTTCACTCTTAATTTTAAAAACGATAACCGTGAAATAGTGCTAGGTCTCATGTGAGTGGAGTTTCTAAAGTGTTTTTATATTTGAAGGATTTGAGGGTTTCACTGCGGTGACTATGAGGAATGCCGTCTTCTGGTTCCTCGATCGCGTGCTCCGCCCGTTGTTGTGACTCGTGGTCAAAAAATTTGACCACTTTTATGGAACCAGAAAATTCTTTACCGTGTTCGCAATGACTTGACGCTGGGTCATGTGTATCTGTATACATCCTTATAATTCGGTAAATTCCATATTAATATTGTACTTACATTCATGTCGATGTCTCAAAATGGATCAGTTCCCTTCAATCTTTACTGTTGGAACCTTCTATGCATTTATGATCTCTTACAAAAACAAACTCTGTGGCCTGTAGTCCGTAAGCGAAATATACCGACCGAGCGACCGCCGCTTGTCGGCGAAGTTAGTGCCAACTTTTGCGGATAGAGGGTGTCGCGTGGTCAGTGCAACGAATCCCCACGGCCGTTAATATCGGTTTTCTAGACCGGAGCAGCTATTTCCTTAAAATATCTCCACAGTTATCCTTGCCAGGCTGAATGGACTCCGTTCTAGACCCACTACTTCTCAGAAAACCTGGTAGCGCCGGGAATTGAACCGGGACCTCTGGATCTGTAGCCAGGAAGTCTAACCACTAGGCGACATAGGCGGTCATGCTTGCTATGTGTTCAGACTATCTCAACTTTTCCACATGAATGAATGAGAACTTAGAATTTCATGCCATAATTAGATGCAGTTGATCTGCAGACAATAAGAAATCTGTGGAGAAAGGAAAAACTCATACACTTCCCAGCGGGAGTCGTATCAAGGCCGAGGAATTGCGGTTCGATTCTCGGCAAGGTCAAGTAATCATTCAATATTCAGACTGACACTAGGGCCATCCCAGCCCAGTGGGTACCGGGCGTCTATTTTTGGGGCCCAAAGAAACTGAGTAGTCTCCGCTATCTTTTGCGGATATGAAGAATGCCTCACGCCATTCCGTATTCCGTATTGAGGGGGTGGGTTTCCCCATGCACTTAGACCGGTTAGTGGTCCATTGTGCGTCCCCCTTTAATTTCTACTGTCTCCATACCTTACCGGTACTGGTGCTTACTATCAGCCCCTTTCTGCCAGCGAGGTTCCAAACTCCTGTGGCAGTGGTACCTAATACTTCCCCCATCTACCGGAGGAATTGGAAACTACTTGGGCGGAAAATTTGCCTAATTTTGCTCAGAGGTCTCCTAGATGCTTCACGCCATATCTCCACTGCTCCAAATGTAGTTAAGTAGGCATGCAGGAGACTTGACATAATTGGTCAGTTTTCCATTAAAATTTCTTTCCTGATTACACCAATATTTAAATATTTCAACGCCGAACTGCTTTGGTAGACGCGGTTCTAATTCATTGTATTCAGTCACTACAACAGATGAGATACTAAATTAAATGCAGAGTGAATTTCTAAGAGAAATGAAGAAGTGTTAATTAGAGTCAGTGAGCAGAGGAATATCCTACACGAAATAAGAAAACGGAAGGCTAATTGGATTGGTCATATCTTACGCGGTAACTGCCTTCTAAAAGAAGTTATTGAAGGAAAGATAGAGGGGCGGATAGAAGTGACCAGAAGACGTAAGAAGATGCTGGATGACCTTGGGGACAGAAGAGGATATTCTCATTTGAAGGAGAAAGCTCTAGATCGCATTAAGTGGAGGAATTGTTTTGGAAGAGACTGTTTACCTGTCGTCTGACAGATTACTGATGATGATGATGATGAATTTCTAAATATCCCTTCACATACTTTTTCAGACTGCAGTACTTTCGGACTTGGCATTGTGGATTTGAAAACCTGAAAGCACCGGACGTGAAATGGACAGTAAAATCATATAAATTGCAGAATTGGAAGTGGGCGGGCTTGCTACGTGTGGGTGGCAGTGTGTGTGTCTCTTGCGAAGTAACCAGTCATTTCTGACAAGTTAATGCCACTCCGAAATGTGCATTACTGCCAAATTAAATAGCAATATTTACGTTACGGACTGTCCGGTCAATAAACATGAGCCTACAACATGAACATATGTGCCTTCATTTCAATCACAATTCCCATTTGATTGATAAGAACTTCTTGATGTATTAAATTGTCGAATTAATTTTTTATACCCTAAACTGCAAGGGGAATTCACCCTGGATTAATGTTCAGAGAGTAATATTCTGTAATTTGTTATCGAACATACACGTGCCATTTTGGATTATGATGTTCAGGTTAGAATTCTACACATTAACGATATTAAATTCACACTACACGAACATTTCGGTCTGGTTTCCTTGTGCCACTTTACCATGACTCTTAGGTAGTTTTTCTGTTGGGCTGATGGATCTGGGATTCTCACGGCAATAATTGTTAAGACTGATCTCTGCTCCTTATATTTTGATATGCAGGTTTCTGCCTACAAAGCCATAAAAACTCTCCCTGTAACAGACCGTGGAGGCCGGATGGTTGCGAGACGTCGAGGCTCCCACACTTTGTTTGGACAATCGGCTCACAGATGTCTGTAAAGTTGTCAGCCTTACGCGCTGGCCTCGCTTTATCCCCCAGGAAGATTCCTGGTACTCATTTCTGTTAGAGGCTGAGTCCACCCCAGGGCCGTATTGCGGCTGGAAGGATTAGGTCAAGTGAAAAAAAAAAATCCATTTCATCGGGACCCGAACCCGCAACACGGAGTCTTATCCCGGAATCATGTATCTATCTATCTAGGGATACCTCAGTCGGCATTTCGACAGGCTACTGGTTGGAAGGTTGGCATTCGATTTCCGGCAAGGGCAATAAACTCTTTTCTCCTCCCCAGCGTCCGGACCGGCTCTGGGCTCCACTCAGCCTCCTGTCCAGTGGGTACTGGGGAAATCAGCCATGGCGTGCAGCTGACCACTCGTCTGCATCCCGGGCCGAGGTCACGAATGATGGAGCCCCATAAGAACCCAGGTAACTTTACTGTTTATCTGTCTACGGCTGAACGTTCTGTGTAACGAAAGCGATTTTCAGATTTCAATATTTTTTTAATTTGGACGGGTAACCATTCGCTTCTTACTTGTGGTGTTAATTTTCATATTAATTTCTTTATTTATGTTATATTTAAGGACGCGTTCAGAAGCTCAAGTATAGTATGCTTTCATGAATTAACTTTTAATTAATTAAACACAAAGACAACATTATTTAAATATATTGTCACGTATCCTGGTAACGCGATATGTAATTAGTGGGTTCTCTGGATTGATGGATCGATTTATATGACGTCATTATTACAATCACACTCGCTTGTAACAGTTCACACACTCAACTCCTTCCGGATAACACTCTCTCTCTGTGTAGCTCTGCTGCGTTCTCCAAAGCAGTTGATTAGTCACCTCGCCTTCTTCCTCCGCCTCCTGCCGTGTTCGTGTCTCTCCTGGTACCACAACGAAACGCAGGAACTGTAAGAGCCACACTCCAGATATCACTGCACTACAGCGGATATCAAGTCTTCAGATCACACGCTATATCTTCTGCGAACTTCCCGTGGCTATCTTCCACCGAGAACTCGGAACTCGTCACTGTCAATATCACTGTCACTGTCACTTTCACTCTCACTGCCACTCTCAGTGTCGTCGTCACTGTCACCGCCACTCTCAGTGTCGCCGTCACTGTCACTGCCACTCTCACTGTCACCGTCACTGTCACTGCCACTCTCACTGTCACTGTCACTCAACTATCTTCACAGTTCACTGAGGACACGCTCCAGTATCGTCCGCGTACTCTCAGCTGCCTTGTAGCTTCTATTTCGCTCCTCCAGCTTACGGCTGACTGCAAACTGCCTCTGTTGTCACATATAAACCTTCGGAGCGGACCTATAGAAAACATGTTACGTTATTCCTAGACAGCGAGTTCATTGGTGCGCTCGCTGTTGCCTAACAATGAACAATAAACATTCATTCATGAGATACAGCTTCTAATGTTGCGCGTTTTAACTTGTTTACTGAGTCATTACCTAGCAACGACCAAGCATTGTTGTCAAGCGCTTAAGCGGGAAGGTGTTTATCGCGCCGTTGTCAATCTGTACACGTCACAATGTATGTTGTGTGTATGTGCGTGTGTGAGAGAGACCTATACAAACAGAATTAATTGTTCTTCAACCTGGATATGTCAGTGGCCCAATATGTATCATATACACGTAAGCCTCTTCTATTCACAAAATATGACGTCACTGGATCGGTTAAGATAATTTACGGCCAAGGCTTGGAACCTGTCCTCTTATAATCCACCATAATTTAACATGTTACATTAAGCAGCAAAGCAGGGCGGAAGGACGGCAGAACCTTATTCATTAGCAAGCTAAATTCGGCTGCTAGCATATTGACTGTAGAGGCTAATCGTACTTTTGGTGAGCAGACAGAAATATGAGGAGAAAACTAGAAATGGAGATTAGTTTTATAAAATGAAAACGATTAAAATTAAATATCTGTAATTTATTGTGCCTATTAATTCATTTAGAGAGAACGCAGAACAGGAATATAACAATCGGTTTACTGACGTCATTCACACCTTCTGATCTTCCGCCGCAACTTCTCTCCTTTGCTCTTCTCCCAATTCCGTCCCTCAGTGTACCTCTTGGTCTTCCGTTCTCTCTCCTTCCCAAGGGCACCCATTCGAGCCCTTGTTTGTACCATCTACTGCCTCAGAATGGCCGCGCCATAGCTCAAGCGGTTAGTCGCTGCCTTCACACCGCGGCGGCCAGGGTTCGATCCCGGGTCTGGTCAGGTGGGATTTATGGTGGACAAAGTGGTGTTGGGGCAGGTTTTCTCCGAGTACTTCGGTTTCCCCTGTTTTTACGTTTATGAAGAATTCAAAAGAACTTATACCACGTCAAACACATTTTCCTTAAAAATATATTTCTAAAAGCAGAGCGAAATTTGTTTCGATATTCAGTGTCCAAACAGAACACTTGCTTTCTACTTGTGTTTCTTATTACACGAGTATTCTCGTATGAAGTGGTGCAGCGCTTGCTGACAGACCGTCGAGACCGAGTGTCGCAGTGGAAGAGGCATCTCATTTCATTATGCATGAGACAAGAACACAAAGCAACCCAATAATCATGCTCTCGACAGTGGCACCATCTGATGATATGTTTCCGAGGTATTCATTTTAGTTCCACTCGCCCTGGAGACGATGTCAAGTGCGTAAGGACACAGCCTCCTCCCAACCCTGTGTGTCAAGTATAGTTACCGTACATATTGGTATGACAAGCAGACTTCATCTTAATTGTAACCCTCAAATGTTATATTATTCGTAAATTAAATTCAGGATCACAATACTGTATAATCCTAAGATGGAACCCATTGAAATTCCAAAGGGAAATCTCTAAGAAATCCTGACCAATATCTAACCCCAGAAATTTGAAAAGTTCTGCAAAGAAACCTGTATTTTTACAATGATGCTGAATTTGATAGAATAATAATAATTACATACTGTGCTGCCTTCTAGAGGATGGTAAACGGTACCATATTGACTGAAGCTTAACTTACAGAGCCTTCATCTTCTGCGTCTGTTCGTAACTACTTGTCAGCGTAAGTAACGAACACACATATAACGACAGACGTACAAGCCTTAATGTCATAAATTGTGTAGGCTTATAAGGACGATTTATTTAATAACGCTGGGAATAGCGTAGAGTTTCCAGTGTAATGACTGAATAATTAATGAGTAATTAAAACGAAAGATAGAGAGAGGAAAATTCATAGCCAGATTTAACTTACTGTCCCTGGATTTGCCTGGACAGTCAGTTAGTATGGCTGGTCTGTGGGCCCAGATTTGAACCCGGTATCTAACACCCACTTGACCCAGACAGCCGTTCAAGTCGTGAAGAATAATGTTGCTGAGTGTAAAATGCGCCTTATTATTACACACCCGTTAGAGCCAAAGTCCCGGAGCATGGAAGAACCCTTTCTCTCAACCCTGAGTGCGGATAATTACACAGGGCACTTGCTTCTGGGTGCACCACTCAATTAACCGTTGATGTCCAGAAGTCCCCCGTGCCCCCTTATGTATTCAAATAACGTACATCTATCACACAGATACTTGCTATCCTCTATTCCAGGCAGGCAACATTATACAAGTAATTTTCTCTATATTCCTTATATATTATTAGTCTATCCTTGTTATTATATTCGAGTCATCTCTTATGTTGATGAAGTTCTTGGCCATTGGCGAGAACAGCTGTTTTACTGCGTGCCGCCATTGCGCTTTGGTATTCCCTCCTCATGGCATTTCATTGTTCACTTGGGAAGGCTAAGTGACATTAGAACAACGACCCTTGGGCTACATTGTTACAGACGTACTCGCCAGAGGCCTGTCCGCTTGTCCATCCACAGGCGAGGCGCACCTTCCATCTGCAGCTGCGAGTTACCCAACTGTAATGAGCTTCTATCCAATAGAAAATTGTGTTATAATTAATGATCGAAGCAGAGAACAGGCACATTAAAGAGTTCACCTCCTGTTGTTAGATGAGCCCGCAATGCTAATTCATTAACGAAAGACAAAAATTTGATTCAGTAAATGACATTCTCTTTCAATTAGATAAGCAGTGATGACTGATAAGAAAATCATATATTGAAGAAAACAGTCTTCTGGAATGTGACAACGTGTAGATATTGTTTAACCGATGTTTCGGAGGAAAATATTGCCTCAATCTTCAGGGTAGAAGAAAAAGAAAAAGAAGAACGTTCCTTCGAAACGTCAGTTAACACAATATCTACACGGCGCCACATAACAGCAGACCGCTACCTTCATAGTCACCGACGTGAAAACCTCAAATCTTACAAATAATATATTGTTCTAACCACGGCCGTTACCGAACGTTACACCAGCTTCAGCACTGACACTTCATGTAGTGGGTGGCGGGACTACTTACAGGACACTGTCACCTCAAAGGACACGTCTTCAAACTGGGACTAAGTGATAGTCCCACTTGTGAGAGGTTTCAAGAAGAAAATGAAACAGCCACACATATCCTGTGTGAATGTGAGGCTTTAGCTTATTTAAGATTACGTCACTTGGGTCCATAATTTATGGAACCAAGTGACTATTTCGACGTCCCCACGTACAAAATCCTACGCTTCATTCGAAGTGCAGGATTGCTGAGGGGATAATCAGAAGGGGAGGCACAATAGATCACTGTGGTCGCGGTGAAAGGGCCGAGAAGGCCCACCTCTCATACATTCATTTATTATTATTATTGTTATTATATTCATTTCTATTCTCCTCCATTCAGGCTACATGCCCTGCCAATCTCATCCTCCTTTACTTGATCATTCTAATTACACTTGGAGAAGAGTACAAATTAGTATTCTTTAAAAATGTTTCTATTGGGCCTATAGACATATCAAGACAGATGGACAACTGCTTGGGGCGTGAGAAATGAATAAAAACTGTTTCCTAAGAACTAGACATCTCGGAAGACATTTGCGAATAATATTAAAATGGAGTACGGTCAAGAATTTTCTCTCCTCCATGCAGCCTCCTATCCAGTGGGTACTGGGAAGAGGGCTCTTTCTCTGGGTTAAAGCGGCCGGGGAGTCAAGCTGACCACTCACCTCCAATTAATGCCGAGGTAAAGAAAACGTGGATCTAGCATCCACTCCGCCCATACGCCTCCATGGCGTAGTGCTTAATTAGTTAAGCACAGGGATAACTTTACGTTTACCTTACAGAAACAGATAATGCGGTAACGAAACCCTGTGCTCCAGAAAGGGCAAGGAATTGAGTCACTGAATGTCCATTGTCACCAGAGGATGTCTCTGTTTTCTGCGGCCAGTTAAGTAGCTGAAATTGTGATGAAAAGTTCCCCATTTTCATGCTTTGCTCGCCACAGATTCGGGAGAGCAAGTCCATACATGTACACTGAACAGCCACGATATAAGTAATACATTATCGACAGTGGTTTAAAGAAT